CAGACTCTTAACCATCTGAGCCACCCAGGTGCCCCAGGATTAATCTTTTGCTTGGTAACATCTTACAGACCAGTTTTTGCCTATATTGCCATTTTTTTTGGTCAAGTGTATTTTTTCTAACAATAAAGAAGTGCCTTTAAAGTAGTATGTAAATTTTGAGCATTAAGTTGAATAACAACTCATTTCTCCTCACTAATGCCAGCATATGGCACCCTGAAACTTCTTCCAACATATCTAGAATAAATTTCCATTGCAGCCAATCTTTCCATGGAGAGCCACGCCCTCTTTCTTTAGAGTGGCTCATTGTGGGGTTCCACGTGGGCTTTCTCCCATAAACTTCACCCTCAGTGCAGGATCACGATTTGTTTCTTGATTTCTTATTTTAATGAAGCAGGGCTTAGACGCTTGAGAAGCAATTTAAATATAACTTTCTAGTAAATTAGAACTGTTGGCCAACACCTGATAGGATAGTGGTTTTTTAACATCTGCTTATAGTGTCTTTCTAGAGCATTCAGATAAACAAACGTGTTTATAGAAACAGCTGTCGGGTATTGTTTTCCACTTACACTTCATTATTTTGCAAACTGTTTAGTTACGTGAGGTAATTACAATGAGTACATTTTTGTCAGGCTTGGGTCTAGACAGGAGTGCATCCGGTAAGGCTGTGGCTGGACAGTGGGTGTGGGCGCATGGACAGGTAGAGCGCCCTGCTGCCTGCCACGAGGATGGTGCATGTGGCAGAGGCACGGGAACGTGATTTATCGGATGGGGTGCTTCAGGAGGAGGACCTGAGAACGCTTCCGGTATGGCACAGGTCGTTAAAGAGGCTTTAGTTGCTGGTAATGTGGTGGAAAGATTTTTAAAATCTCAACTAGTTAAGTCCTATTTGTGTACATTTGCTCAAGGGATACACTTAGAGGATAAGGGGTTGGAAAATGATTTTTTTTTTTTTTTTTTTAAAGATTTTATGTATTTATTTGAGAGAGAGAATGAGATAGAGAGCATGAGGGGGGAGGGTCAGAAGGAGAAGCAGACTTCCTGCTGAGCAGGGAGCCTGATGCGGGACTCGATCCCGAGACTCCAGGATCACGACCTGAGCCGAAGGCAGTCGCTTAACCAACTGAGCCACCCAGGCGCCCTGAAATGAGCTACTCTTAAAGGGGACTCCGTCTAGCCCGGAGGACCAGGCAGGGATGAGCAAGTCTGGAGATGCCATCTGTGACCCAACACAAGGGGCCTGATTAAGTTAGGAGAATGAATCTCTAGAGTACTAGATGGGAAGCACAAATTGCACCTACACTGAACCCTATCAGAGAAGAGGGAAATGTCTGGCTTGGCTTAAAAATGTACTTGAAATCATTTAGGATTTGCTCAGTCCAGAGATTCACACTTTTGTATCTCACAGATATGGGAAGTGCTAAAGCCTTCACAGCCAGCAGAGTGAATCGCTCTGATTGGAGGACAAAATCTTCCAAGACACCTTGCCGCAGGAAACGGTTCCTTTAAAGACAACAGGAATGGGGCCAATTCAATATCAAAGAAAAGGCTACCTGGTGGCAAGTAACTCCAAGTGAATGAAAGTTCTGCTTTCTGATGCGGTTACTGAGACAGATCAAAAGAGGAGAAACTTAAAAGATTGGGAGAGGGGAGACAAAAGAAAGCTGCCCGCACAGGGCAATAAGGCAGCCCGGCTCTTGCTCTTACCTTATAGAAAGGGCATTCTAGGACTGAGGTTAAGAACAGTTGGGTCAGCTGTGCAAGGCTCAGTCTGTCCAAATACAATTCTTCACCTGAAATAAAAATCATTCCAGTTGTAGTTAAGTTTGGATTTTGTTATGTGTGACAAAAGAAAGGTACATCCAGGAATGCACAACGCACACTGATCACTCCGGAAGTAATGTACTTTTAAATGACTCTGGGAAAAGAACATGTCAGAGTTAATTATACCCTCTTGCTTGCCATCAGTACAATTTCATTTTAACCTCCAAGGAACTCAAGCTCCGAACTACAGAATATAATTCAAAGTACCAGGTATGTTAAAATCATTGAGAATTTCCTTTAACTGTGGAGACGTGGACACCTGACATATTTGGGTGGCCATCAACTGAGACGACCAACGCCATCCTTTCAAAACCGAGAAGTTGCCAGTTGCGTTCACGGCTTCTGACATGTTTTGACTATGACCAGGGCCACGTCACGTCCCACGAGACTCAGGCTGGCAGTCTGTTGACCAGAAACTGTTTTCTCTGTGCAGTGTTCCATCATCCTGGAACTCTGTGTATCCACTAGCACCTGATGCTCGTCTTTAGGTTATTACGGAAGAGAAGACAGAGGTGACGCACTGTTCAGTGTACAGGTAGATACACGACTTGAAAAGAATACACGTTCGATTTCCCCACTCTCAGAAGTTATAACCAACTCACCTTGCAGCTTTTGAAGAAAATAGGGGCTGAATATTTTTGCCATGAAGTTGACCGGATGGCATTCAATTAGTGAACACGAATGGAGAATTTTCAGTAGTGTTTTGGGTGGAAAATAATTGAAATGAGTGAGCAACATGTTTTCTAGCTTTCTAAATAAAGCAGAGGCATTCGGGGGCAAATAATTGAGTTTTCCAAATGGTTCGATTAACTCATAAATCTGATGAGGCGAAAATTTTTCTGATTGGCAAACAAAGGTTTCTGCCACTGCGTCGAGGATGGGTTTTGAAAGCATCCGTTTCCTACTGCAGTACTCCATGACCTTGCTGACGACCTCAGGATCCAAAGTGAGACACGATGAAGCTACGTGTCGCTCTAGGGCTTTTGTAAAAAATCTGTCATTGTGCCCAAAGCATATGAAAGCCTCTAAGACTTTTCTGAGCTCTTCGTTAGTAAAATGAGGGATATGCCTCACAGCGTATTTTCCCAATTTTATAACCAGAGGAAGTGCCTGAGTTTGATCAAGAACCGCGAGGGCACTGAGCACTTGGCTCATCAATGTAGGACTCAAGTGGTAAACTACCGACAGAGAGAAGTTGTTTAACTTATTCAGAAATGCTTGGTGTTGGTCCACTTTTTCAGTACAAGCCTGCAGTATCCTATAAAGGGCCACAATATCCTCAGGAGTAAATTCTTCCAATTTTTCACTTTTCAGTTGACATATAATCAGTTCTAGCGTAGCACAGCCTGGACCTTGCAGTTTAATCAGACTTTCCCCAAGAATACAAAGACTGTGAACTTCCAGGCCACCCCGTTTGAGACGACAATGGCATTCTGTCACCAGGTTCAGTAACAAGCTACTGTGGGGATCCACCTGCAACAGAGTCAGGGCTTGCAAAGCAGTCACCAAAATGGCGTCTGGCAGACCTGAGGATTCCTGTTCACACTGAATGCATAAGGCTTGAAAGACACTATTCTTTAGTATTTCTTTTGGCAACTTTTGATTACCATCTTTTTTTTCCACTTCACAAATCCGCTGTAAGGCTCCTGCTGCTAGAGTAGCAGGCAAAGTTTGCAGTGTGCTTATAAAACTTAACACTTCTTCTGATGAGGTGAAGCTGTTTAGTCTCCTGTAAAACATCTGTTCATCCACACTTTTAAGATTTTGTTCAGGCCTATCCCAATCATGTGCTTGAGAGAACACCGGCTCACCAACGGCATGAAGGTCATTTCCATTTTCTGAATGGAACTTTTTACAACAGCCATGATGGAATCTGACCCTGAAAGGCTCAGACCGTGGTGAACAGAACCACGGACACAGACGCTCCTCGGAAACCTTGTGAACATGAATTACAGGATGATTTTTCAAAGCAGCCAGAGCTCCGTGGATCCGAAAATCAGACAAATGGCAAAGGTTCCTCCGCAAGGTAATTAAAGCCATGCCATCAGATTCTCAACTCTTCTTGATTTATAACTAGAGAAAATAAAAAACATGATCAAATATACACACAGCATAACTCAACATGAATGCTTATGAAACTAAGGATGAGTACTTGTGACAGATGATTCATAAAAACCTCCCACAAACACAAGTACCCAAACATCAATCTCTGCATCCCACAGCTTGGAAAAGTGGCAGCTGAGAATAATACTCGCTATTATTTGCCATGCACCCCTGTGTTTTACCGGTATAGCTTAACCCTCACAACACAAAGAATTAAGTACTTCTACTCATTTTACAGATGAGAAAACTGAGCCCAAAGAGGTTATTTTGTCCGGTTGGCACAGCTCGTCCGCGGCAGAGCTGGGATTCACACTCAGGCGGGCTACACCCTAAACACGCCTCCTCTATGTTGGCTGACAGAAAGCACTGCGTTAGGTTAAATATACCCAAAAGGAGCAACGGGGAAAAGGGCCAAAATTCGTATAGGTCAACGCAAAGCAAGGGTCCAAACACGTGTAAAAGGCCTGAGGTGTTCTCCTCTCGAAGTAAAGATCTGGACAGGGCTGAGGAAGAAAGGGGTCTAGTTTGGCCAAGGGGGGAAAAAGGCAGATCTAAAAGAAGTAAAACGATGCAGGGCACTGAGGGAGGAAGGTGGGAGTTCCGTGTAGACCTAAACGCTCTGCCTGGACTGGGGAACACGAGGGTGCAGTCCAGGGGGGACGGGGCGCCCCAGGAACCGCGTCCTCCTAGGAGTGAAAGGACCCCACGCTCCGGGTGCCTCCAAACCCGGCGACCCGGGAACCTGAGCTCAAGCACGCGGCGTGCAGCGGCGCCGGCCGGAGAGGAGTGGGCGGGCCATGGCAGCACGGACACCTCGGCAACGCCGCGGGCTCACGTACGTTGGGCCGGGACACCTACCGCGCGGCGACACCTACCGCGCTCGGACAGCCGGAGCTCCGAGCAGCGCCGAGCCCCCGGAACCTCGCGGGCCTCCGTACGCGCATTCCGTAGCCGGCCCCACCCCCACCCCCAGCAGCCCGGCGCATGCGCAAGAAGGCCACACCCACCCCGGAGCGCTTTGATTGGCCCAGTTCCTTCCCGAGCTCCTTATTGATCTTGGGCGCTGGAAAGGCGCGCGCCGTGACAGAGTGCGCAGGCGCGGGAGCAGGGTTCGCGGTCCTACGCGGTCCTACGCGGTACTAGAGTGTCTCCGGCCGGCCTCCCTCAGGTGAGACCCGGTGGCTGTTGTTTCCCGGGCGGGCAGCCCGCCCAGCTTGAGCCGGCGGGGAGGCGATACAGGCTCGGGGAAGGCACTGGTCTCCGCGCCCGCACGTTCCTCTCGCGGCCGGGCTGGGCGCTCGCGGGTCGGTCAGGAGCCCGGCCCGCTGGGCGGAGGGCTGGGCCGGCTGCGCCCAAGGCTGGCCCCAGGGGCCG